GCCTCCATGAGAAAGCCCTGTCGCACTCGACTGGCTAAAGAGACTGAGGTCAGACGTTTTAAGGGCAAGGGGGAAAAGTAAATCATCACAGAATCGTAGAATTGGCAGGGACCTCGAGAGCTCATCGAGTTCAGTCCCCTGCCCTCGTGGCAAGACCAAGCACCATCTAGATCATCCCTGATAGACGTCTGTCCAACCTGCTCTTAAATATCTCCAGTGATGGAGAATCCACAACCCCCTTAGGCAATTTATTCCAGTGTTTAACCACCCTGACAGGTAGGAAGTTTTTCCTAATGTCCAACCTAAACCTCCCTTGCTGTAATTTAAGCCCATTGCTTCTTGTCCTGTCCTCAGTGGCCAAGGAGAACAAATTCCCCCCCTCCTCTCTGTGATACCCTTTTAGGTACCTGGAAATTGCTATCCTGTCCCCCTCAGGCTACGGCTACACTGCCTTTTTTTGCGGAAAAGGATATGCAAATCGCACTCGCATTTGCATATCTTCTTCCGATTCTTTTTGCGGACGAGATTTTCCGATAAAAAACCTGGTGTAGATGGGGCCATTTGTCGGAAAAAAACCCTTTCGCAAGACCCTGTAAATCTCGATTTATGAGGATTTATGAGGAATAAGGAGTCTTGCGAAAGAGGTTTTTTTTTTTCTGACAAATGTCCCCGTCCACACCGGGCTTTTTATCGGAAAAACCTCTTCTGCAAAAAGAAACGGAAGAAGATATGCAAATGCGAGTGCAATTTGCATACCCTCTTCCACAAAAAAACAGCAGTGTAGCCATAGCTTCCGTCTTCTCTTTTCCAAACTAAACAAGCCCAGTTCCTTCAGCCTTCCCTCCTAGCTCATGTTCTCTAGACCTTTCCTCACTCTTGTTGCTCTTCTCTGGACCTTCTCCAGTTTCTCCACATCTTTCCTGAAATGTGGTGCCTGGAACTGACACACGACTCCAGCTGAGGCCTAAAGAGCCTACCTGCAAGAGACTGGAACAAGGCAATCAAGCAAGAGCAAGGTGCTTGCATTTAATAAACGTCTTGAATAAACTGACTGGAGCCCAGAGCATCAACGTATCAGTTTTCACACCTGGATACTGGCAAATCAGACCGGGAAAGGGAAGTTAATCGTTAACCACATTTACCAGCCAACAGCGTCTGAATGGATTCACCCGTGTTCAAATGTTGCCTAAAAATTACAGTGCTTAGGAAAGCTATATTTGTTTTAATTGGGAATGGAAGCATCCAGATGGTTATTGTGTTAGGGTATGTCTACACTACAAAGTTAATTCGAACTAACAGATGTTAGTTCGAATTAACTTTGATAGGCGCTACACATGCAAACCGCTAGTTCAAACTTAATTCGAACTAGCAGAGCGCTTAATTCCAACTAGGGAAACCGCATTCTACGAAGACTAACGCCTAGTTCGAATTAAATAGTTCGAATTAAGGGCTGTGTAGCCACTTAATTCGAACTAGTGGGTGGCTAGCCCTCCCCAGCTTGCCCTGGTGGCCACTCTGGCCAACACCAGGGAAACTCTTCTGCCCCCCTCCCGGCCCCGGAGCCCTTAAAGGGGCACAGTCTGGCTACG